CAGCTCGTCGCCGTGATCAAGAATATATATACTTTGTGGGGTCTGCCACGCCTCCCCTTGCCTGTTACATACATTTCAACAAAACCATTATACCCTGATTTCCCATTTTCAATGGGTTCAGGGTATAAATATGTTCACATGTATGCTGCCTCAGCGGAAGAGTGAGAATGTATCATATTACTTATTGCGACAGTGCACTTGTAAGACCTGCCTACTCAACAATGTACTCAAAGGGCTTTGCACTCTAGTGTTATGTGCTTAAATATTATAACAAAGTGATACAATATATTTTAAATATTTTAATGTATGTCACTGAGTGTCACTTTTGCATGTATACTCGTGTATACCATACGCAGTAGAAGTTTATCTTATTTTTTCAATAATTCATACTATATCAACTTAATTTGAGCACAATAACCCTTTGAAACTTTTATGAAGATAGCCATATTACAAGCAAAATTATTCAACAAGTACATTTCCATAATATTGCCCACACTGTAGCGCAGTCCAAGGTCGCTGCCTACTGTGCAGTTAGGGCGGATGCTTGTGCTAGAAGTGCAGAATGATTAGATGTTCAGATTCTTACTTGTTTATATAATATTTCAATGTATCAAAGAGATCTATTTTTCGCTTCAGTAATTACAAGGGGTAAGCTCGACTTTTGTTTCAATCGAAAATATTGTATTTAAACACAAACGAACTTTTTAATCATAATGTCCGATGCAAGTAATTGTTTGTATCAGAGGTTTACGAGTAAGAGAAGCGAGTGTCGAGTGGAATGGCCATGTCGATCTTCTGTAATAATTTTGTTTAATGGTCGTAGCTTTTCACTCTGCACAGGTAAGCACCTATCAGCGTAATTAAATTGCACAGGTAAAGTTTACCGTGTAGTTTGCTCACTCCAGGCGCAGTTCACAGCAGCCCAGCGATGGAAATATGATAAATTGCGGCTCTCAGAGGCGGCTGCAGTAGCCCAGTAGCCAGGCAGCCCTGCAGCTCAGAAGCCCAGCCTAGCAGCAGACGGGCAACATTTGCCGGCACATAAATTCAAAAAGAGCCGCTATTGCTGCTAACCAAATCTTAATTATAAATCTAAGGAAGCACTTGGAAAAAATTACCGCAAGCGCAGTGCGGTGTGCTGCGACCGAAGTTGCAGGGGCACACCAAAAATGGGAGAAAAAAGGAGGAAAATAGAGAGAAGAGAGTAGAGAATGAAATGATGATTTAATAGAATGGTCTGCGGGCACCGCCAGCTGGTTGGCTGAGCCGAATGAATGGGCAAGACGAGCCAGCGGAAATGGCTCCATAAGCTGCTGCAACCATAAACCGGAAGTTAACTGACTTTTGCTGATGTGGCAGTTTTCGTGCTGCTGCCTATGTTGCTGGGCAAGGGGTAAGGGACAAGAGGCAAGAAGTAAGCGGCAGTAAGCGGCATGGTCGAAGGACACCCGGCCAGGAACACAGAAACCGACACGGACACGGCGGGCAGTCTGCGAAATTGTGACAGCGCATGGCCGCAGGATAATCAAATAATTTTTTTCTATTTCTACAAAAATTTTTTTGCTCATTCTCTTGCTGCGTTTCTCACAATTGCAATCATTTTTTTTTGTGGCTTTATTCTGAAGGCTCCTGCTGCGTGGCACTGGCTGCCTGGCTGGCTGGCCGGCTTGCTCGTTAAATTATTGTGCAACATTGCCACAAAATGCTAATTGCCGCACGATACGATCAAGGCATACAGCCATGATGCCTCTCGGCCCGTTGCTCAGGAGAAAACTTTTTCAAAATGCAGCTGTCAATGAATTTTCCTTTGCTATTGACAGTTTCATTTTCTACTTCTGCAGACGACCGGTTCTCTGTCCGCCTTATCGCAATGTGTCAAGCTACTTGCACTTGCCCAATAAATCACACGAGTTCATGACGCTCAAAGATTTATCGAGAAAGTTGTGCTTAACTCGCTCAGTTATCTTGCAATACGTTAATAGCGATATTTCGTCTCACACTCTAACCTGAAAGCACCTTCAATATTATTATGCTCTCATAAATTGTTTCTGCAATTTTCTTTTTTTTTAGTTAATTAAATCACATTCAAATTTTTATAAAACATTATTCTTTAGGAACCTCGCAGGGAGGTCCTGTGGATGGCACTTCCTCAGTCTTCTTCTCCTGGCTTCTTTCTGCAATTTTCGGGCTATTAAAATGCTCACGGCATTTTCATAGCGAATAAGTGAGCAATTGTTTGCTCAATTTCATTGCGGGCTTTCAAAAATGTATGACCAATAGTGAAAAAAACATATTATAGTATTGTGTTTGAAAAATTGAAAATGTATAAAAAGAATAAACTCCCTAATGAGATAGAATGTCACTAAAAGTTGAGTATGTTTATTGAATCAAAATATGTCACATTTTGACATATAATGACACACTTGACATGTAACCAAACTTAGTTCACGGATTGTACTATGGAAGCCGAATTGTCGAACAAATTTTCTTCTGGAACTCTATGAATACCTTTTTCTATGTAAACAAACAAGAAAGTATGGCTGATTTGCGAATATATGAAAAGATCCCATTTACTGTGAAGGCTCCCGAAATTAATTCTTATTTTGGTTACTTTTTAAATTCGCAAATCAGCCATACTTTCTTATATTATCGACAAGATAAATAATAATATATCGTATAAATTGACAATTGACAATATATTGTATACAATTTGAATATATTAGATTTTGGTTATTAGTAAAAAGAGACTTTTTTGTTATACTAAATCCAATTTTGATATAATTTTTGCATTTTGTAATAAAGTACTAACGATTCTCTCATTAGTACATGATTAGTTTGATCGATTGGGTAATGATATATGAAATCACATTCGAATTGGCGTTGATTGTTAATGTCATAATTACTAATGAAACAAGTAAAAAGGCTCCAGTCGAGACTGCTCGACTAGCAAATACCCTGAACCCCCCAACCTGATATTCTAATCATTCTGCACTTCTTTTATGTACACATACACATGATTATCGGATGATTTATTGAAAAAATAAAGCATATACACGAGTATGCATGCAAAATTTCAGCTCTCTGGCTTTCGTATCTTTTGAGATGGACGCAATCATACGGACGGACAGCTCGTCGTCCGGATCAAGAATATATATAATTAATGGGGTCTGTCACGCCTCCTTCTGCCCGTTACATACTTTTTCACAAAGCCATTATACTCTGATTTCCCATTTTAAATGCGTTCAGGGTATAAATAGAAAATAGATTGAATCTGATTTGAGTGGCATCACTGCCAAACTCACAAACAAATATACGAGTCGAAACTAGTCTGGTACAATAGAGATAAAAATGGCCCGTGTGTCAAGAGCTGTAATATTTATAGTTACAGTCACCTCGTTTGCCCAAATTATTGTCGGCCGTAGGGTAAGATTGAATGAGATTGCTTTAGAATTATATCTGATTAATGTGTGCCAAAGGCCTTTAACTCGTTGCACTTTCGCAGGGTCCTCACCACGTTTGAGTGCAAGTACGCCTCAGGTTACGAAGCGCGCATTAGTCAAGATCAGCTGAAAATCAACATAACGTTGGACCTGATTCAAGCAATCACGGTGGACGTTTGGGCGAAGGTCAGCGTGGGGCAAAGAGAAGCCAAGAACAGCTACCGCAATATATTCTCGTACAACATGAACATCTGCAGCTTGATTGGCAAGGGCAAAGGCATAAGTATCTTCCAGATTTGGGTGCAGAACGTCTTCAGGTACACGAACATGCCGCGAGCCTGCCCCATTGCTGAGGTGAGTGGTCGATCCTTAGGACTACTAGTCAGTCGAGTCAATTGAGTGCTTTCAGGGAAACTATTACTGGCGGAATCTGCGACCCGACAGGGACAGCATACCCGCCTTCCTGGTGACGGGGCACTTTCGCATTGATGTCCTGTTCTACATGCGGGACTGGAGCAACGATATGCTGACGAACACCACTGTGTTTGTCGATATTAAAATGAAATGAAAAGCCACGCAGACATTTCGACCACCTAATTGGCCGTTGTTGAGTTTCATGAATCCTTTATAACCCGAAACTTGACGCCTCTATGCGATTGCTAACACAATTTTTCACTTCCGATTGAGCAAATCGTAGCACGTGCACTTCGCATAAATAAATTAATGAGCCTCAACCTGGCTGGCTCTGGCTGGATTTGCTCGCACGCGACACACGCTCGCTGTCCAACGGACTCAGACACGGACACGGACATGGACGCGGACCGGGACAGGGAGACGGACGCGGAAATGGACACGTAGAAGGACATGGGCACGCAATCGAATGGCGGACAAGCGCAGCAGTTGCTGCACTGCTGCTATTTATGCGAATGGCAAACTAAGCGCAAAATAATTTAAGCACTGACAATAACAGTTGGCCAAAGTATTTCCCTTAACAACTCGACAAGTTTACCCGGCTCACGGGGCTGCGCACCCCCGACTCTGCAGCCTGCATCAGGCAGCAGGACTCCCAGACTCCTTGACTCCTGCACTCGACACGTTCGCACGCGCTGGTAAGTACGCCGCGTTTTCAGTAGCTTCTTTTGCTTGGCGCGCCCTCATTTCCGCCGGCTACGTTGGCTCGTTTTGCACTATCATTGCACTTCCGCACAAAATCAAGGCAGAATCAAAGCATCATTTCTTGTATTTGTCGCCATCGACGAATGCTGGCAGCATCGAGGACCTCAGCGAGTGCAGTGCAGTGAGTACAGAGAGCCGGGCTCTCATCCGAGCGGCTGTGAGACAAATAATGTCTGCAGTGGCAGCGGGTACTCAAGGAAATTGCCATCATTATTGTTGTCGTGCTTTATGCCAGTGCTAAATAACGTTTAGCGTTTGTTTGCCGTGAAATTGATTTGCACTGCGAAACGCTCTCTGCTCTTCTCCAATACTTGGGCTGGGCAAACATCACTCGATTTAATAAATTGCTTACATATTAGTAATATTTAAAGAGGAAAATGTACACGCAACTCAATATATATTTGGAAAAATACACTCTCCATAATCCATAGCCCGCTGTAGTCTAAGACTTGGCTAGGTTTAATTGTGTGGAATGATATATGTATATCCGTACCGTGGTCAATCTCCTTCTCTAGATCCGCGCAAATTGAAAATTAAGCATATTCCGAGTCGTAGCTGACCAATTATTTGCCGCAGCAGGTAATAAACTAATTGAACAAAGCTCACCTAAATCACTCATTAGCACTCGTGGAGCGGGCAGCTGGGATGGCCGCGGGCACTGTCAGGGGGAACTCATCATTACACATGCTATAATAATTCCAGCGGGAGTCATTCACACTCACACACACACACACATAGAGCCTAAAGCGAATAGCTGTAAAAATTATTGCCGACCGGACCGCCTGGTGCGTGGCAGTGACAAGTGCAGGTGGGCGGCAATTAAGAAGCGATAAGGTAAAAAGTACACACGCAATTGAGACGGGACGGACGGAAGCAGCCAGGACCAGAAGAGGAAGGAAAATGCAGTAAAGGAAACTGTTAGCAGGAACACAGCTGCTGGAGCAGCTTTTGTGCTGCATGCGACAGCTGCCAAGCGAAAGAGGCGAGGAGCGCGAGGCTGCTGACATCGAGGATATTGTAGCTAAATTGAATGTTTTATTTTCGATTTCTTTTTGTTCGCATTTTGCTGCTGCTACTATCGATTATCAACGGCGCTGCGTGCCACATGCTGCAGCCGTGTACAGGATATTATTATCCTCATGCAACTTCAATGAGCAAGCACGACCCGCCGTAGATGTCGCACTTTTGTCGATTTATTGGAAGCTTGGTTAGCTCAGTTATACAGAACGGAATCTATGGTTAAGGCAAGCACTCGGTTCTCGGTTTTGGTCTTGTACTTTCCGTAGAAGAAGTAAACCTTGCCCCGGTACTCGCCGGGATGCAGAAACTGGTGCGTCAAGCTGGAGCCCATCTCCCAGTCACGCAGGTAGTAGGTGCCCACCTGCACCGGGCAGTTGAGCATGAAGTTGCCCTTCTCCGTCATGCTCTTGAACCAGCTCTTGAATAGTCCACCCTTGACACTGTTTACCGTGGCACACACGTCGACATGATGACTGAAGATGGTTTGGAACGTTTTGGCATTTGGCATACGCAGCTGGTAGTCGATGTGGGCCTTGAAGCCGCGCTGAATCGGCTGCAACAGCTCCATTGTCATATTCAGGGTCCTATTCGAAACACACATCGAAAAGCTCCTAAAATATTTCGGATTGTAAGTGGCGTTGCTGGACACAAACTCCACCCGCCGCTCCTGCAGAGCAACACAGAATTCAGATACGTTAAGGGCCGAGAAGTTGGGTATACTAGACTCACCGCTTGGCTGGGAAGCATATCTGTGCACAGAATGAACCCAATTATCAAAATAGTCGGACAGCAATAAATGCGCCACGAAAACATTGCGACACGTACAAATTGACCTATTTCGGACAATTATAAATTCCACTGAAATAATTTAGTTTTGCGCTCAAAGACTTAAATATTCCAAAAATCAATTGGACTCACTCACTAACCTAATTGTTGGAATAATTATAAATTCGATTTCTTATCTGTTCCCCGACCTTTGCTTCATTACCTTCATGGATGAATGCACCGACGCTGAGAATATTTCTACATATATATTCCTAATGGTAAGTAAATAGTAGATATTTATATAATAGCAGTAAAGCATACGAACAGATGTATAGGCAATCAAGCCCGCATCGTTAAATCGGATTACCTCATTACGCTGCTCAAGAATATATACATATATATATGTATGTTGGAGTGGTGGCGTCGATAATAAGTGCAAAGACCGCCTTGTAAGTTCCGCGTCATTATTGTTGAGAAGATAGCTGTGTGTTCTCTGAATAATATAATGAAACATACATATATATGTATATATATAATGTAACATACTCCGCCGCACCCTTAGTACTGCAAATCAGTGGGTGTACTGGTGTTGGGGCCATTTTATTAACAGAATGCTGTTAATAGCATCGCATGGTATGGTGCGGGAGGAGGAATTCTTTTGATCTCTTCTATAGTTCTTTTAAGGACTAGGATTGCTACATAGTCTGGAGAATCCATCCCATGCTCATTTTTAATGGATGTATTATAAATAAGCTAAATTAGGCTGAATCAGGCTAAATAAGTAACACTGGTTGCATCCCCATGTGCGTGTGTGGGTATATGTATGCTCTGAAACGAAGAATTATTGAAATTTGAAGTGATTTCGTAGCTTAAACTAGAGGCTTCTTTATTGTTTTTAACTACTTGACCTTTAATAGTGTATATACAATTATGTCTAAGACAGGGTCCTCGTATTTGGACTTGAGTTTTCCGTAAAAAAAGTGACCGGTGACGCGATAGCTGCCGGCATTCAAATACTGGGGAACCAGCTTGGGGTCCACCTTCCAATTTCGCAGATAATAATGATCGGGAGGCACTGGGCAGTGGTATATGAAGTTGCCGTGAGCCAACATGCTCTGGAACCAGGCCTTAAAAATGTTCTTCTTCAAGGCCATTGTAACTGCACAAGCGTCCATGGTGTGGGCGAAGACGCGTTGATAACGATCGGCTTTACTCATTTTAATGGAGAAGTCGACGTGAACATTGAAGCCCCGATCAAAGCTTCTCTTGGTGACCATTTCCAGATTGACCGTGTTGTTGACAGTGCGTATGGTGAAGTTATCGAAGAACTTGGGATTGAACTTGCACTCTCCAGATTGGAAGAGCACGGTGGACTGTAATGGACGAATATACGCAACTGAAAGACTTAATTTTTTCAAGCAGAACTCACGCCACCTCCATCTTGCACTTTGCAGGCGCAAGTCAGTAAAATTATGCCTATTGTACACTCCGTCAGCACCTTCATCACGACGCCAATAACCAAATAACTTCAACTGGTGGCTATCTGTTTTACTAAGCTAATTACTATTCAACTGACAGATAATCATTAAAAATTGACGACAACTGAATGTTATAAAATGTTTACACTCATTCGAAATGTTTAAATTCATTGTCGATATGAACCACTAATGAGACGAAATGGTGCTCGTTATTCATCCTAAACAGACTGCATGTATATGAATGACTGAATACATAATAATATCATATAATATATAAAGCGAGAGCAAATTATATTCGTAAATCAGAATAGTCGATATTAATACAGGCCTAATTGAACGCACTGGAGTTCAGCATTTTCAAAAGATTTTATTGGGTCTCGATTTTATTTGATCTGTACCTCCATATCACAGTCAATTAAAAAGTCTTTGGCTTTCGTTTGAATATAAACTTGAACTGCATGCAATGTTAAGCGATAATAGCCAGAGAACAGGAAAGTCGAACGCCGAGCTCAATAATATTAAAATCTTTCGTATAGTAATGATTTGGTTGAACTGGTCAATATTTCTGGAAGTTTCCATGTTCGAAGATATTTGAAAACAATTGAGCGTTGCGAGAGAAGAAATCCAGATTCAAGCTCAATCCCGGGAGCAACGTTTTAATTAAGTCCAAGTCAACGCTTAGAGTCTTACTTTGATATACCAAAGATACGTTTGCAAAGTAACTCCGATTGTATTTGTCGCACTTGGGGGCTTTTGAGACAACAACTGTTGATTTCTAAAAATAATGTGGATATTTTCATTTGAAAAATAAACAAAATATACGTTTTAATATTATTACCGCATTCGTCAAGGAAATTAAAGCTAAAAAAATTATAATCATTTTCAAAGAATTCATTGTTCCTGCCTGTCGCTCTGCTGAAATACGCTCTAAATACTGAAAATGTAATCACTAGATGCAATAATAATGAAGCAAAATAATAATAAAGCAAAATAATAATAAAGCACTTAACAGTAAATATATATGAGAAATATAGAAGAGATTTTAAAACAAGTAAGAAAGCTCTAGTCGAGACTGCTCGACTACGAGATCCCCTGAA